GCCACCCACCCTCACACCTGCCTCTAGCAGGCACTTCTCTCTCTCATCTCTCTCTCTCTCTCTCTCTCTCTCTCTCTCTCTCTCTCTCTCTCTCTTCTTTTGGGCATTATGGCTTGCAATACAAATACTGTAAGGATATCCTATATGTCCCTTTACCTACTTTCAACACTCAGTTCCTGTCCATAGTCATCATTTTTAACTATTATTATTGTCATACTGGTCCCTTCTCTATCCTAACTGCCCTTTGCCCCCTGAAGCAGAGAGTTTCTAACCACTGAGTGCAGTCTGTTTCCCGCGCAGAATCTGGTTGATTTAAGAATCATTGACACTGAGATAACGGTAGAGGGAAATGGGTTTGCAGGTGGAAGGGGTAGTGTTGGAATGCTGTATGCTCAAAATCCTATCATTGACAGTATTGTAAATCATGGTACTTCAAATAAAGTTTTAAAAAGAAAATAAAATCAGAATCTGAAAAAAATATTCAGTTTACAAATAAGATGTAAACACTAATTATATACAGCTCTTCAGTGAAATAGAAAACCAAGTCTGACACCAGTAATTCAACATCCACCATCAATATACCTTTAAAAAATTGATGATTATTCTTAATTTCTATTAATGAATTAGAAATGTGCTTTTATAAGTCATTTATAAAGGCAGCAAAATATAAATGAATGAGGTTAGAGGGATCACTGATAAGAATGCAAACGGGATCACCATATTTGGCTTCTTTATTCTTTGCTGTATAAAGGTATGGACTTTACTTAGCTTCATTTTTTTCTCTATACTTAATTGCATTTTGAAATTAAGTATTTTATTTTTGAAATTGAGTATATATTTTTGAAAACTCATTTTTCTGAGTTTTTTTCCACTTTGTCTTCTCCATCAGAATATCATTTTTTGAATCCTATGGCTTTTTTTTCTCTCCCTTCCTCTCAGATCTCACCTTTGCAAGAGTCAGTTTAGTTCACACCATTAGTGCTGTCTAGGACACATTTATGCCTCTTCAGCTGTATTGACATTCCTTTGGGGCAGCTCTCTTTTGAGCAAGTGTGGTGGGCTTCATGGGTGAGGGAGGGGTCTTCAATCTTAGCCAGCAGAAGGAATCCTTTCATACGGCTCAGCTTCCTTGGCTATTTCCTTTTAGATTTGTCTCTGAAGCAATCTAAAGCAAGATTTTAAATGCTATTTTCATCAAAATTTCTTCCCTTTTCATTAGGTTTTTAATACTGGTATATTTGGAACCAGTAGAATATTTTGATTTTTGCCCATATGCCCTTGTTTTTATTCTTGTACTCTATTTTGGCACTGATAAAATTTTCTTTTTTCCTGTTGATTGGAAAGTATAAAACATATTTATATCTTATAATAAATGCCCTTAAATAAATGCATTTGAAAATATTTATATAGCCAAGCATTTTCCTGTGCCCAGAGTTCTTCTATAACTTAGGGTGTTACTTGTATTATCACTTCTCCTTGGCTGGGCTTTTTCTCTAGAAGATTTACATCTTTAGAATTATGTCAGTAACTCATTGGAGCAAACTGCATACTGAGTATATATTAGCATGGTAATTCAGAGAGAGTTTGTCAAATGAGTTGATAAATCACAATTCTAATAAACATTAATAAATAATTAAAAAGATATTGATTCAACATAAGAACAGGAAACATGAGCTCACTCCATGCTTCCTAAAACTTTATGCATCACGTCTTCCCTCTGTCTGGGATTGATTTTCACCTTCTATCTACACTGCTTGTTCTTTCCCTTCTTCCTATTCCCCACTCCTAGACAAACATGTACTCATGATAACAGATGAAGTTGGTTTATTGTTGCTTATATCATAAATTAAAAATCAGCATCTGAACTGCTCATCATAGAAGAATAAATGTATGAAAGGCAGTTCATCCATTACCTGGAATAGGATGCAGCAGAAGAACCTTGTGTGTTAATACAATATTTATTAGTGAATTTATAAGATTTATTAGAAAAATTATTCAGCAAGTTATGAAAGGTACATAAAATCATAAATTTAGCATTAAAAGTCTGCAAATAAACTGATAGACATTTTTCTGTTGTTTCTAATATATAGTAAAGTACCATAATTATCACCTTTAAATGGAGTTAGAAGAAGACAAAGTCAAGGTAGTAAGTGAAGAAAAGATTAGCCTCAGGAGGTGCAGTCAAAGAGATTTTCATCAAGGCCTAGGGACAGAGGTGCATCTGTGAATATGGGAGGCCTGGATTTGATCCCCCCACCACATGGTCCCCCAAGCACAAGTGGTAACCCTGACACCCTGCCAGGATAGTCTCTAAGGAGATACGGCTGGATGTGGCCAGCAAACATATTTAAAAAAATCCTACTTATCTCAAAAAATTCTCTTAGAATGAAAACAAAAGGAATTTTGATATCTAAAGTACATTAAAAAATTATTCTGGTCACCAATTCTTTTGGTGCTGAAACAAAAGCCCCCTGGAATAAAAATTAAAACCAAAAGGAGCTTCTCTGTCTAAAGTACGTTAAAAAATTATTCCAGTTATCAATTCTTTTGGTTCTAAAATAAAAGTTCATAAAAGCAGTCATAAAGCTTTATCCACAATCTTTTTTATTTTTCACTCCAATGAAGGGGAAAGAAAGAAATGATCATCTACTTACTAAGATTTTGTCAATTATCCAAGTATAGATTCCCCCCATCTAAGAATATATGGTTTTTATTTTGTACTCCTCTTCACAGATCACAGATCATCCTGTTATTCATCGATTGCCTCGAGCAGGCCCCAGTAACGTCTCCTTCATCCTAGCCCTGAGATTATATTCAAGGCTCTTTAGGAGAATGAGACCCATCATTGTTAATGGTATTTGGCATATTGGGTAATCCACGGGGAGTTTGCCAGACTCTGCAGTGTGGGCAGGCTACATTCGGTAGCCTGCCAGTTTGTCAAAGTAGGAATGAGATGTCATAATAAGATGTCGTGCGGCCGCAAATGTGGCCACGTGGTTCCTGGAGCTGGTTTTTATAGTCTCTGAGTCTTGGCCGCTGATGGGATTACACGGCGCCAGGGGGCCAGTTGGTGGTTGTGACCCTGCCTACTGGAATTTGGAGGATCTGGGTGAAGGATGCTCGACTCCAATCCGAGTAGGCTTGGAGATCTCGGCCCCGGAAACCAAGTGGCTTTGTCCCTCTGCCGGTACCTTCAGGTGTGCGGAGAGTGGTCTCAGTGTCCTGCCCCCGCGCCTGGCTATTCCTCGCCAGGGCCCCTTGGAGGGGAGTGGGTTGAGCTTTCCTCCCCGCCCTGACCAGGTCCCCGGCAGCCGAAGACCTCCAGGACCAGCCACTACCATGCTGAGACCACTCTCCGTACTCCTCTTAAGGTTCAATAATTAGATTTCACATTATACTTAACTATCTTTTAATATTTTCCAGTAGATTGCCACTTAGTAGTTCCCTTTGTTATTTAATCTTAAAATGTGATAAATCAACTCATTTCACTGAACTTCAGTTAATGTTTGTGAGTTTATTTTATATTGTGTAATAAAGGAAAAGTAAAGCACACACGGGGACTTACCAAATTATTTTAAGGTAAGTTTTTATGAGTTTAAAAGCAGAAACAAGTTCATTTGTATTTCAATAAATATCAGGAATTTTTTGCACACCCGGGTGCCTTTTCCTTCAGGAAGCAAGGGTTGTGGGTTGTCTGACTACTGAGTTCCTTTGAAGGGGCCTTTGTTGATGGTTTCAGTGCACTAGAGGGCACTCAAGGCCTCAAAGAAACTGAGACAAAGCACTCAAGAAACTGAGACAAAGTGTTAAGAAAGCAGACCCCTCCCCCCACCAAAAAAAATGTGGCTCAGTCAAAATATAGAGAGCAAAGACCAGGAGAGAGTGTATAGAATTTGTGTAAAATTCATCTTAGGTTTTCAAATCTGCTTTTACAATGTAAACTGCACAGTGCTGGGGCAATACTCTATACATCCAGTGTGAGGCTAAATCTCTGAGCTGCAGGAAAAGGAATATTGCTGGACATGGTGAGCACAGGATAAAGAGAAAGAAAGAAAAAGGGAGGCAAATTACAAACAGAAGGAAAGGAACAGAACAACATTTAGTTTAACTGGTCCTGTGTCGATTGGGTGATTAGGCTGCAAAGAGCGTTAGGCTGAAATTAAATCAGAATTTAAGCTTATTCTGGATTATTCAGAATGTAAGAATTAAAGGTATCCTATCTGTCTTTTAGCCTACGGAACTAATTGCAATAATTTATTTTCTGGCTCTTTGGGGCAGGAGGGGAGAGGGGTTTGGGCCACACCCAGTGGTGCTCAGGGACTATTCCTGGCTCTGTGCTCAGGAGTGACTGTTGGTGGGGCTTAGGGCACCATATGTGATGCTGGGCTTTCACTTTGGGGTCCACTGCACAGAAGGCAAACAAGTTACCTCCTGTTTATCCTCCTGGAACAATTTTCTAGGAAGATGGTAGCCATAAATCCCGGGTTTCTGCTACTCACTTGATTTCCAGAAAATGTATCAACTTCTTTACTTCATGTATCACTTTCCCTGTAGAAGAATTTCTAAAAGCCTAGATTATTACTTATAAACCTAACTAAACAGTTTTGTAAATGGGGTCATTCTTCTTATTTCAGGCTCCAGTTAAACCAGTTGGAATATACAGGTTTTATTACTCAGAACATAATTTCCTCTTCTTCTATCTCTACACCATATAGAAAAAACTATTCCAGAAAAAAAATCCTCATAACTTCATATACTGGGAAGAGTTCCCTTACTCCCGGCTCAGTTTGCGCCCGCAGTTCTGAACTAATTACTGTGCGGTCTCCAGGGGCGCAGGGGGCGGAGTTTCCTGTCAGATGAATGACACCTCAGATAGGGCTGGTTCTCAGTGATGCAGGGAACCCTGCATGGTTCTAAGAACATTGACCTGGCACTGTGGATTGAAACTTTTTAGAGCAGCGTGCAAGTCACCCCAGCATCCAGCATCAGGACAAGGGACCATGAGCCGCTGGCGAGCTCTGCTGGGACTCCTATGGGTCCAGATTTGCTGTGAGTTGGGGCCTTCCAGATGGAGCTGAGGGAGTGTTCACCGCCAAGAGCGAGAAAGAGGAGTGTGTGTATGTGTGTGGGGGGGAGAGGGGGTGAAGGGAGAGCATACTCACAGGGAGTTCCTGCGAGGTCCTATATCCTCATGGGTATTTCTGGGATATTTTAGAATTTCGGAAGTGCCCACACATGTGTTTTTCTCTTTCTAAGCAGCGGTGAAAGGGATGAAGGTGGAGCAGACGCCTTCCTCCCTGAGTCTCCAGGAGGGAACCAGCTCTACTCTGAGATGCAACTTTTCTACCACGGTGAGAAGTGTGCAGTGGTTCCGACAGAATCCCGGGGGAGGCCTCTTCAGTCTCCTTTACACGGCTACAGAAACGAAGGAGAGCGGAAGGTTAAGTGCCACAGTGAACTTTAAGGAGAAGTTCAGCACTCTGAAGATCACAGACTCCCAGCTGCAGGACTCAGCCACCTACTTCTGTGCAGCCGAGCACAGTGCTCCCAGGTGAGCTGCAGCCTGAACCCAAACTGCAGCTGGGCTGAAAATCTCACCCTTCATGGGGCAGAATCCTCAAAGTAGCATCTGCACAGGAGTCTTGAAGCCATGTGGCTTTCTACATGGCCTTCAGGAGTGATGGTAAATCAGATTTGTAAATTGTACCAGAATAAATATGTATATATGAACCTCGAAATAAAGTCTGTTGGAGAGATATTAAAGTTTTCAGCAAGTTTAATTACCGCTCTTAAAAATTTCTGCAACACTGTAAGACTAACACCATAGACTTAAAAGTAGAAATTAAATTTACAAAGATAATACCATCAATTTTCATAAGAAATTAAAATTTTTCAGTGAACCAGTTATAGCACAGAGGATAATTTAAAATTATTTTTTTCTCATATGTAAATACTCGATATGAATAAATAGCATTCTGATTATATCTACTAAACACTTCTCCTTTTCTTCCTCAATTCCAGCATTTCGTTGTTGAATTTTGGTCTAGTTGATCTATCGAGAGGTGACAGAGTGGTGTTGAAGTCCCCAGCCACTACTATTCTGTTGCTCTCAATATCTTTCTTCAAATTTATTAGCAGTTATTTTAGGTATTTTTCTAGTTCCTCATTAGATGAATATATGTTTAGGACTATGAACATGTACATTAGGAACTTGTACATTAGGAGTTCTTCCTAATGTACATGTTCCTTTATCATTAAAATAATCCTCTCTGTCTCTTATAACTCTTAAAGTCTGAAGCTGATTCTGTCTGGTACAAGTATGACCACTCAGAGTCTCTTTGTGGGGTTTTGCTTGAAATATTGTCCTTCAACCTCTGACATAGAGCCCGTGTTTACTCTTACTGTTCAAATGTGTTTCTTGCAGTCAGCAGAAGGTGGATGCCATTTTCCAGTCTATCTAAAAGTCTAGATAGATTTTCTAGTCTATCTATCTAGTCTATTTAGTCTAGTCTATCCTGTTATTCTATGTCTCTTAATTGATGCATTTAGGCTACTGACATCAAATGAGATTATTATCATGGAATTTTGTGCCACCTTTCTGTAGAAACTAATTATTTCCAAACGAGGAGATCACACTTAGTTTTTATGTACAAGGTACAGAGAACAACAGAGAAAGCATTAGAAATGTCAGTGTATAAACTTGCAATTAAGATTAAACACAGAGTTCATATGAAACTGAATAGTAAAATGTTATAGAAAAACTATTTCACTGAGGCGTTAACTCTAATTAGATTTAGTAAAGTTTATATCTTAAAAGTATATATCAGTTTCATGCTCATGTCACAGCACATACAATACTCTTAGGATTTTTCATCAGTTGCATTAACAGAAAAATCCTCAAAATTTATAAGATTTGGCTATTTTATGTGTAAAATATCCAAATCTGTGCCTCTGTGACAGGCACCTTTCTTCTTGCTCTCTCTGTCACTCCTTCTCTCTCTCTCTCTCTGTCTCTCTCTATCTCTCTCTGTATCTCCTTTTTTGCATTATGGTTTGCAACTGATGATGGCTTTGGATTGTGGATGTGACTGCCCGGGCTTTGGAACAGACATTATTTTTCATTATTCTAATTGACATGAAGTTATAAAAAGTGCAAACTTTTATAACCTATTTGAAAAAAGCAAACCAAAGCTATCTCACAAGAGTAATTAGTTATTCTATTATATAAAGAAACTATGTTCAAATTTTATTTTGTAATTTTAAAATTTGAATTTTTGGCTAGGTATCATTAAGTTCTATTATACTCATTAAACAAAGACTATTTCTTAAATTGAATCACTGTGAGATAGACCATTACAAAACTATTCATGACTGGGTCTGAGTCATATAAATGTTCCAACACCCATCCCTCCACCAGTGTATATTTCCTACCACCAGTTCGCCTCCCTCCCTCCAACTCCCTTCTCCCACACTCACCCCCAAATCCCCCACCCCATCTGCCTCTGTGACAGGCACCTTTCTTCTTGCTCTCTCTGTCACTCCTTCTCTCTCTCTGTCTCTGTCTCTCTCTTTCTCTCTGTATCCCCTTTTTTGCATTATGGTTTGCAACTGATGATGGCTTTGGGTTGTGGATGTGACTGCCCGGGCTTTGGAAGCATAGGGAAGTGGGGGGAGGTAGCTCATCCCAACCCCAAGAGAGCCTGGAGATATCAGTCACAAAATTTGCATATTTAAATTTTCAGCAGATTAATATCTTGGTGAAGTCTGTCCCAAGACGGTGGAGTCTGGACGGGGGCATGGATTTTGGATTGTAGGAGCAAGTGACTGCCAGAGGCTCTGTTTGGGTGGGCACTGGCAAACACCCCCCTCTCCCCTCCCCATGTATCCCATCTGTATAACCTTACATGGATCCAAGGTCTCTTTCAAGATTTACTTATGGGTCTCCAAAGCAAGGCCAATACATGAGCCTGTGTGGCTGAACTGGAGGTGGTATATGGGTGAGGATCCTACATACCTAACTTTTGGTGGTTTAATTTCTCAGGAAACTTGGTCCTGAGTTGTTGGGGTCTGGCCAGAGGAATAGTGCTGATTTGGGGTTATCAGGAAGCCTGAAGGCACCATCAGGCTGTTGATGCACTCGCTGGCAGGGACCAGGTCAGCTACAGTTCGTGTCTTGGGTTGGGGGGGGGCAGGCGGGAGGGGACCTGCAGTCACCAACTTGACTAGGGGCCACATGCTCCCATCTTTGGTCTCCAAACAATTGGTACTCAGAGAGGATTTCCTCCATAATATGCTGTGGGTGGCACAGCCTGGTTCAGGAGGAAATGCAGCAGGATCACCCCACAGACAGCAAATCTCCAGGGTCCCATGGTGGGAACCCAGAGCACTTCCTCAACTCCCGGATCTTGACACCCAGGCTCTGAAGTGATGCCGAGTTGGACCCAAAGAACCCTGTTCAGACCTGTTAAAACTCTGCCACAGCCCACAGCACCAAGAGCCGCAGGACCTCTGCCAGCTGGTGGTCATGCCACCCCATGCTTAAACGTTGCTCTGCAGTGGGTGACCCGCTGGCTGGTTTCACTTAATGGCTCTCTCCCTGAGGCAGAATATCCAAGGGTCACCCACGTTCACTCATGCAGAAATTTTGTGGCCCCATCGATTGTTTAGAGCTTGATGAGCTGCCGTCCCTCTGGTGTTTGCTGCCATGCTTCCATCATCTTGACCCAAACTACAAAAACCATTTTTAAGTGTGCTATTTTAATTCCCTGTCACTTTTTTTTCTGCTCTTGGATCAATGATCAGATGTTTACATCTTTCATGGGTCTCACATGTCTTATATTCAAACCTGATTGGGGGGTCTGGAGCCATAGCACAGTGGGTAGGGCATTTGCCTTGCATGCGGCCAACCTGGGTTCGATTCCCAGCATCCCATATGGACCCCCGAGCACTGCCAGGAGTAATTCCTGAGTGCAGAGCCAGAAGTAACCCCTGTGCATCGCCGGGTGTGACCCAATAAGCAATCAAACCTGATTGGGTATTTTGAATGTACAAACTGATTTAGAAGGACAGAACTAGAATCTAGGAACCTGCGGGTTTTCCAGACAGTAGCTTTTGCTCTGCATGTGAGAAAGTTCATACACATCCTCCAAGATCTCTAATAGGAAGGTTTTGCTCTTTAAAAAAGCATTGCATGTTGTTGTAAACATGAGAATTGTGTTCAGAAAGGAACATCTTAATTATCCATGGCTCAGCATGGTGCTCACACCCATCACTCTGTGATCTTTCCACCCTTTGAGGCGAATCCCATTTTATTTCACTTTAATCTGACATAGATATTCTTGACCTATCATTGATTCTTACTAAGGAAATGAAAACCTAATTAGTAACTCATTCCTGGGACACTGTCTCTAATTCTGAAGAGTCCCTTGTGTTCGTTGGTTCAACTTCAAATACCCCAAGATAGCAGGTGGAGGGAAATACATTTTCAGAGTTCCACAACACAATATCCCCACCCTCACACCACTCCCCAATGGACCACCTGCCCCAATATATCCATGACTTAATAGTATAAAAGTATTTGGGAAATAGAAGAACCTCTAAACCTGTTTTTGGACAAATTAATTTTACAAAATAGAAGCTATTTCCAAGATGAAAATATGAAACTACTTAATAGTCAAGAGCTGGGAGTAGAAAGAGTTGAATTTTCTCACTTCCCCAGTAGCATTTTTCCTTCGGCTTCCTTCCATCTGAGTAAAGAGAAACTGCCTAATACAAGTGCAGTTATGTAGATCACTGCAGTTTAGGTCTGAGAAGCCATGGTGCAATCAGCTTGACCACCGTATTGAAGAGTTCCAGTGTGTGGAAGTTGGACATCTTGGCTTGGAAAGGAAGCCCAGAGGACTCTTCTGTCACCAGTAACGCAGACCATCTTCATTGGCTTCTGTTGGAGCCCAGCAGAGGTGATATACACCCAAGTGTTTTCCAAAGGATTTTTCTAGAGAGAGAAAGCATTTTTATTTTTCCATGTGAACTTCTCTTAATATCAAGACACAGATAAAGGTTATCTCTCAACGTTGTGTTAAAAGAAAAAGAAGAGAAGGATCCTTGGGTTTAGAGGCTAAGAGGATCATTGTCCTTGTGCAGTTGAAGAAGGCACTAGAAAGGGCCTTTTAGGCAGCATCTTCTGAGGATGGGTTGGGACATCTTCAATGAAATAATCAAAGGCAGCAAGGATTTCACCCAGGGGATAACTACATATATGTTGTTAATATATGTGAAACAGTGACTCTCAGAGCATTTTAAAACTAATATTCAATGTTAGATACAATAACTTAAAAGGGAAAATATGTACATTTAAAGCATATGTCTGTAAGGGAGAAATTTGTTCAATAAAGAATTTGTGAATTCTCTCCTGGGAATATATCTCGGAGAGGCAAAAATGTATAGTCGAAGTGACATCTGCACTTGTTTGTTCATTGCAGCACTCTTTACAATAGCCAGAAACTGGAAGAAACCTGAATGCCCAAGAACAGATGACTGGTTAAAGAAACTTTGGTACATCTACACAATGGAGTACTATGTAGCTGTTAGAAAAGATGAAGTCATGAAATTTACATACAAGTGGTACAACATGGAAAGTATCATGCTAAGCGAAATGAGTCAGAAAGAGAGGGATAGACATAGAAAGATTGCATTCATCTGGGGGATATAAAGTAACAAAATATGAGATTAATACCCAAGAATAGCTGAGATCAGCACCAGGAGGATTACTCCATAGCTTAGTGGCCAGCCGGGCATTCTAGAAGAAAGGGCAGCTCAGATAGAGAAGGGAGCACCAAATAAAGGGTGTTTGGAGGATCCTCCCAGGAGGGGAGATGCATGTTGAAAGTAGACTATGGACTGAACATGTTTGCCACTCAATGCCTCTTTTGCAGACCACAACACCCAAAAGGAGAGAGAGAACACAGGGGATTGCCCTGCCACAGAGGCAGGGGGGGATGGGGGCATGGGGGTGGGGGGGATATTATCCATGGTGGTGGAAAATGGGCACTGGTGGAGGGATGGGTATCTGATCATTGTATAATCGAAACCCAAGCACAAAAATTGTAAATCTACAACTGTACCTCATGGTGTTTCACTAATAAAAAATAATTTAAAAAAAATTTGTGAATTCTATACTACTGAGGATGAATCAGAAATAAAGCAGATTATTAAAATGAAATTTTGCATAGACACATTTTTATTCTCACAAGACATATATTGGATGGTAACTCTTTGTTATTTATTGGCATAAGTATGGAATTGGGATTTTATTTATTCTCCTTGTTGCCAGAAGAGCAGTAAGTAAAAATCACAGAAAAAGATCTACTTCTGGAAATGCAGTAATCTTGTTTTCCTAAGGATCACATTTCAAGATAAGTTCCTTTTTCTTTTTCTTTTTGGTTTTTGAGCCCAATCAGCGGTGGTCAAGACTTCTTTCTGGCTTTACACTGAGGAGTCACTCCTGGCAGGACTCAGGACTCATGGGGTTTGAGGATCGAACTCTGGTTCCCTTACCTGCTGTACTATCTCTTTACTCTTAAAGATCAGTTCTCTAGGATAAGTTACTCATCCATTCTATGCTATTTATACACATTACATCATAACAGATTACTTTAAATATGCCAGAGTTCCAGAGTTCACACGACAAATCAACCAGATTTACAGGTCAAACTGTCTCCTTTGTTGGAATAAAAAATTACTGAATGGAGTTATCCCTTAGCTCAGGCACTATTAAAATCTTTTATTTTTATCATAATCATATTTATGGAAGAAAGATTTTCTATTTTGACTGTTGCATCTATCAGCTCTAGAAAACATTGGTATCATGGAAAAGACAGTTTAGAAGATGGTTGGAGGTTAAAAAAAAGACTGAAATGTTGAGTTTTTTTTCTTTTCCTATCTCATATATAAAATATATATTGCTTTTTTGGTCACACCCGGCAATGCTCAGGGGTTGCTCTTGGCTCTGCATTCAGGAATTACTCCTAGTGGTGTTCAGGAGACCATAAGAGATTCTGGGGATTGAATCTGGGTTAGTGTCATGCAAGGCAAATACCCTACCTGCCGTACTATTGCTCTGGCCCATCCTATCTCTTATTTTGATATTGGGCTGTATCTTCCATTTAGAAAGCTTTTCCCCATAATGTCGTCCAACGAAGAAGGCACATTTGGCTACAATGCAATATATTTTCTTTAAGTGAGTGGCTAGGATTCTTTTCTAACTCATAAATCAAGCCTATCATAAATACCAAAGATGTTTATCTGTTTCCAAGCTGAAATTACTCAGTAGTGTACCAGATATATCTTCAGTACACTATTTTTCTTTCTTTTTTTTTTTAATTGAATCACCGTGAGTTACAGTTACAAGCCTTCGTGTTTGGGTTACAATCACACAATGATCAAACACCCATCCCTCCACCAGTGCACATTCCCCACCACCAATATCCCTATATACTCCCCCTTCCCCACCCTCCCACTGCCTCCAAGGCAGACAATTTTCTCCATACTCTCTCTCTACTTTTGTTTCTGAGCTAAATCCTAATTTAGGTGACCATTGCTGTGTGTGTGTGTGTGTGTGTGTGTGTGTGTGTGCGCGCACGCGCGCGCGCGCGAACACACACACACACAGACACACACACACACACACACACACACACACACACACTACAATACGCACGGCTGCTGCAAGTTCAGTAGTCGCGGATGTGACCACAAGATGGCAGTGCACCTCTGTGGTGAAGGACGTGGGAGGGCTACCTTCAGGGGCTTCTGTAAGAATGGGCTGTGGCAGAAACACTCTCTTATTGGTTGAGTAGCTCACGCTAGAGAAACTCGAGTTAGAAAAAGGATTAACTAGACATTGGAAGCAACTTCGTCTCCTGACAATTGCAGGTTCACACTTGGTCTTTGAAGGGAGGAGCAATGAAGCCGTCCATTGGAGCCGTTTTCATGTTCTTGTGGCTGCAGATGGGCTGTGAGTTGAGACACTGGGGCAAAGAGCATTAGCAGCCAAAGAAGACATGGATTTTATTCAGGTTTCCTTTAGGTCTACTGATGAAAAATAAGTTCTGGTGTGTAAAAATCTTTCTTCACTGTGTTGCTTTTTCCTTTCTTGTTAGGTGTCAGTGGAGGAGAGAGTGTGAAGCAGCATCCGTCCACCCTGAGTGTCCAGCAGGGAAGCAAGGCTGTTATCAATTGTACTTATTCAGACAGTGCCTCAGAGTACTTCCCCTGGTATAAGAAAGAACCTGGGAAAAGTCTCCAGCTGATAATATACATTCGTTCAACAAAGACACAAGACCAAGACAAAAGATACACGGTTTTACTGAATAAGAATGAGAAACATCTTGCCCTGCACATCGCAGACACCCAGCCTGAAGACTCAGCTGTCTACTTCTGTGCAGCGAGTGCACATTGCTTCCCAGGCACCTGCAACCTGTGCAGAAACCTTTGTTTGGAGCGGGGAGGGTAGTGCCCCTTTCTTTAGCATAGATATTCAAGTGTAATATTTGTCATGCTTATCTGCAATGGAAGCGAATACATCAAACATTAAATTATAAAATAAATTAAATTTATGGTGATCTCAAAAGAGTTAAAAATTTGTTCAATGGGGCCAGAGGTATAGTACTGCAGGTAGGGCACATGCCTTGCATGCACCTGATCAGGGTTCTATTCCCAGAACGCCATTTTATCTGAGCATCAGGAGTGATCCCTAAGCAGAGTCAGGATTAAGTGTGTGATCCATGCTGTTGTTGGATTTTAGGTTGTTTCCATTTCTTGTATATGTACTAAGCACTACAATAGGCATAGTTGTGTATATATATCTGTTTTCTAGCATAAAGTAAAGGTAAAGGCCCTCCCGTTGATCGTCGATTTGCTCGAGCGGGCCCAGTAACGTCTCCATTGGAGACTTTGTTGTTACTGTGTCTGGCATATCAAATACTCTCGGTAGCTTGCCGGGCTCTCCGAGAGGGGCCGAGGAATCGAACTTGGGTCGGCCATGTTGGCTGCGTGCAAGGAAGATGCCCTACCCACTGTGCTATCGCTCCAGCCCTTTCTAGCACAGCGGTAGGGCATTTGCCTTGCATGCAGCCAACATGACCGACCCGAGTTCGATTCCTCTGCCCCTCTCGAAGAGCCCGGCAAGCTACCGAGAGTATCTCGCCCGCACGGCAGAGCCTGGCAAGCTCCCCATGACGTATTCGATATGCCAGACACAGTAACAACAAAGTCTCCAATGGAGATGTTACTGGGCCCGCCCGAGCAAATCGATAATCAACGGGAGGGCCTTTACCTTTACCTCTTCTAGCATAATTTTGAAGAAATTTCTGACAAAGTGATTTGAAAGGTGCAGTAGGAAGGAAAGAATGCGGGAACTTCAGCAGTATATGAGATGGATCTCACTTATGTTCCATCTGGGAAACTATTCACCCTTGACCTGGCTTCATAAAGCTACTTGTTCTGAGTCTGTGGAAAGTGAATGCCAAGAAATGAACAGTGGTAAGCTTCCATTAATGTGTCTAGGTAAAGTCGTTTAGAAGACTTGAGAGAAAGCTCTGTCTTCATCTAAACTTTATCTTGAGGTCTAGCAGATGTGTTTCTGTTTTCTTTTGTTCGATTAGGTGAAGAGTTATAAAAAGTGACTTAAGTAGTATGGTATTCATAAACATGGACCACTTTAAGAAAGTGTGTCCTGGGAACATTCCTGAAGGAAAAAATTTTTTTAAAAAAATGTTTAAATTGAATCACTGAGATACATAGTTACAAAGCTGTTCATGATCAGGTTTCAGTCATACAATGATCCAACACCCATCCCTCCACCAGTGTCCATTTCCCACCACCGAAGATCCCAGTTCCCACCACTCCAGCCTGTGGCTCTATGGCAGGCACTTTCCTTCTCTCTCTCTCGCTCTCTTCCTTCTTCCGTCCCTCCCTCCCTCTCTCTCTGGATCTCTATCTCTGTGTCTCTGTCTCTCTCTGTCTCTCTCTTTCTCCCTCTCTCTCCTTCTGGGCACTGTGGTCTGTAGCACAGATACTGAGAGATTATCATGTTTGAGGACCACAACTTTTGTCCTGTTTCTAGGTGACCACTTCAGTCTAGGACCATTATCACAAATAAAATTATACAAGTCAACAACAGGCTCTCTCCACTAAAGGCACATGACTGTGGGAACTTAGCTTAGTGTTGGAGAGATTGGTCAGTGGGTTGAGCATTGCTTTGCATGCTTGAGACTCAGTTCTACCCTTGGCACTGCATGGTTTCTGAATACCACAGAAGCAACACATGAACATAACAGAGCTCAAAGTAGGCCCTGGGCACTGCTGGATGTGGCAAAATCAAAATGTAATTATAATGTAGTAAGTTCTTGGTCCTTAAAATGAGATTCAGGAAGTTGGTGGTGGGATGGAAGACTCTGCAATTTTATTCATGGGATAACTTATTTTGTGGTTCCTTGCATTGAGTCTAGAGCCTTAAATGTGGAAAGCAAGTGCTTTACCCCTGAGTTATATTTCAGGCCAGAATCTCTTAGCTGTTATATGAGTAACAGCCAAGTCTTTCACAAATTGAAAAGGAAGGAAAGAAGCCAGTGCTTTAGACTAAAGATACAAATCCAGTTCATTAGCATTACTTCCCCTGCAGAGAAAATTTTCTAGTTAAAATTTAGACAAAAATAGTGACATATTGACAACAAGAGAGAACATTCTTGTGGATACATTACCACTCAGTAGAAGATTAATAGTTGTTTCTGATTCATACTCATATACGAATCACCTTATATTGAAGTAATTATATTTATTTTATTATATTTTATATTTATTTTTATAATTACATTTATTTTAATTTATATTTATTTTATTATTCATTTTTATATTTATATTGTTTTTGTAATTATATTTATTTTTTAATGGTTCAACATTTTATTTTTAATTTTTTAGTTGAATCATCAGGAGGTACACAGTTACAAAGTTGTTCATGATTGGGTTTCAGTCATAGAATGTTCCAACACCCATCTCTTCACCAGTGTACCTTTCCTACCACCAATGTTTCCAGTTTTCCTCCCAATACCACCTTGTCTGCCTCTATGGCAGACATTTTTCTTCTCTCTCTCTCTCTCTCTCTCTCTCTCTCTCTATCTATATATATATATATATATGTATATTTTTCCTTCTGGGCAGTATGGTTTGCAATACAGGTACTGAAAGGTTATCATATCCCATTGCCACTTTGCCACTGTTCAGCACTCAGTTCTTGTCCAGAGTGATCATTTGCAGCTATCATTGCCACGGTGGTCTCTTCCCTGTTTTAACTGTCTCCCTCACCCACCCCCAACCCCTACTACTTGTGGCAAGCTTCTGACCATAAATCAGTCCTCCTGGCCCTGTTTCTACTGACCTTGGGAATTACTTTTTTAAATCCCACAGATAAATGCAATTAGTCTATGTATGTCCCTCTCCCTTTGACTCATTTCACTCAGCATAACACTCTCCATGTCCGTCCATTTATAGGCAAATTTCATGACTTCATTTTCCCTGGTGGTTGCATAGTATTCCATTGTGTAGATGTATTGGGGTAATTTTAAATGAGGGAGAATACAGTACTGATCTCAAGTACATTAATAGACATTCAGTATGTCAGTAATGTGTCTTCCCTTTTCTATTAGTCATTATGTTTGCTTATTGATCATTTTAAAATTCAGAGATATTTAACTCTTGATATGATATATGACATTTTCCTTCCCCCAAAGCTTTAATTAAATAGATAACATTCTTTATGATTGACCTAATTTAGATCTCAGGAAACACTTCATTTCAAGGAATAGTGATTCCTTTGATCATTTTTGCTTTTTATTTAACAAATACTTAGTGAGTATAGAATGTACTTTTATATGTTGGGGCACAGTGCTAGAAAGTGAAGAAGAACTTAGTAATAATTTGTATTCTTATTCATTTCTATGAATTTAAATATCCAAACTCTTTTCCTTATTCCACTGAATTATTGACTGGCCCAAAGTGGATACATGAAATTATAAAGGACTGTAATAAAGTAAATTGCTATCTTCTCAGCTGCAGAAATTGCCTACACTACACTAGGTAGTACAGACTAGATTTCATTTTATTTTTGATTTATTAATTTATTTGCCACTCATGGCGATGCTCAGGGCTTACTCCTGGCTCTGCACTCATGAATTACCCTTGGCAGTGCTTGGGAGACCATGCGGAATGCTGAGGATCAAACCTGGTTGGCCACATGAAAGGCAAACGTTTTATCCACTGTATTATCAAACTAGATGTTAGAAGTTAGAAAAGCTGTTGTTCAGATATCTTAGCACCGTTGGAAGTCTGATATGTGACTTCTAAGAGAAAGTTTGATATGAGGTGTTTGGGAATTCAGAAAACATGCACTCCATTTCACACTCCATCCACCAGGGGGAGGAGCATCTCCCCAAGCAAATATTTCCTGTGTGACAGGGAGGTTTTGATTTCCCTTTTTACTGTGACAACCACATTTCATTATGTTCAGTCTCAAGAACATTGTGTAGGTGACACTCTAGAGATGAACTCTTCTTCAGGCTTAGTGGCTGTGATACTTGTCCTGCTTAGTAAGTAGTAAGCCACCTAAACTGCTAAAATTCTTCTGTTCTGTCAGTTAAGTCATGAACCACAATTTTATCCAACTCTTAATGCCATAAGTGACAGAAAAGATCTTTTCTTTTTCCTCAGGACAAATACGTGGCGACTCAGTGACCCAGATGGAAGGCCGAGTGACCCTCTCAGAAAAGGCTTCGCTGACTATCACCTGCAACTACTCTACCTCAGGCTATCCTACACTCTACTGGTATGTTCAATATCCGGGAGAAGGCCCAAAGGTCCTTCTCAAAGCCGAGAGGGACAAAGTCGTTGGAAAACAGAAAGGTTTTGAAGCCACATACCGCCAAGACTCAAAATCCTTCCACTTGGAGAAAGCCGCAGTGCAAGAGTCAGACTCAGCTGTGTACTACTGTGCCATGAGTGACACAGTGACAGGACCTGCAGGGGGAGCTGAGCACAAACCCTGAGCAGAGCCAGGCTGAGGCTGAGAGTTTCTAACAGTTGAGTGCAGACTGGTGCCAGCACAGTATCTGGTTGATTCATTCAAATGGCTAAAGCTTACGAAGAGAAATAAACCTTGACCACACACGAGTCTTCCTTAATCAAATTGAAGAAGAGAATCTGATACCAATTGTTTATCATCCACTTTCAATATCATTTCAAAGTAATAACAATTAAATAACAATGTAGTCTCTTGCTTACCCATGCAGTCAAAATCATAACCCCAAACTCATAACCCTATAATTTGTTTCAGCCTCTCTGCTGGTCATTAATATGATTTCTAACATTTTTAGATAGCCAGTGTGTGCCAGAGAAGGTTCCATCTATACAATGCCATCCTGACAGATTGCAGAAGAGAAGATTCAAAAGCAAACAAAGGGA